TCTGCCATTGTTAGTGGCTGCTTTGCTGTAAAAGGGATTTTTGATAATACGTACTTCTGAGAATTGAGTACCTAATAACTTATTCTGCCACAGTTATAATTAAGTTTTCCCAGGTGAGACTAATATTAAAAAGAGGTGATACTCTGAAGTTAAAATGGTAAAACAAAATGAAATATGACATCAGTAATAACCAAATTCCTGCTTTTGATGGATGGGTTATTTTGAATACTACAAAATCCACTCAGGCCTGTATATAATCCTCATACCAAAAGATTAGTAGAGAGCCAAAAAACATCAAAGCATTGGCATATGGCATCTCGTATCTGTTTTGTCTATTTATGTTCATATAAACAAAGAAAACCATGAATGAGTATAAATATTCAACTTGGCTACCTAGTCCCAATTCATTTATGCAAATGTAACCATACATATTGGCACAAAAGAGGAATGGTCACCACATAACCATATTTTGGATTAAAGATTTGACAAGGCAAGACATGGCTACTTCCACGGCTTTGCTAAGCAGATGGTTATAACATAAAACTACTTCACACTTACTTGGTTGTGTTGCATTGACAGTGGGCTTTTCAGGCTTTTCCTTCTTTTCAGCTTTTGCTTTGGCTGGTTTAACCAAGTCCTCTTCTCTCTTAGGGCCAAGCAGAGTCAAAATCTGCAAATCAATTTCTTCCTTGACTTTACGGCTGTCCGCCCATGGTAGGGCAGCCCTCACCTGACCCATCAATGGGCCAGTGTTGAACTGGTACCTGTATAAAGTAAACCATGACTAAGATTTTAATGGTGTATTATAACTTATTCACCCTGACACTGATACACTGACACAGTACAGACACACACTGCATGCAAAGAAGTAAAAAATAGCAAACAAATGAAAAAATAAATAACTTTAGTTTTCAATAAGAATACAATGAAATAAAACAATTCCTACCTATCACCATAAAATAAATAAGAAAAAAAAATAATGCACAACCTTATACACAAGTTGCTAAATAACATATAACATAAGCAAATTCCCACTTCCCACATTTGGGCTCTGTAAAACTTCAACAGAAATATCAAAAGTAAAACAATACTCACCTTTGGTTCAGAATGGCTGTCTTCTGTTTCTCTATGATGGAGGCTACAGCAGATTCAATCTCATCTTGAGTCACTTCTACTCCAACACCACATGATTTTTCAAATTCTGCTTTATTAAGATTTCCTGATGGATGATTCTAAAAAGAAATGAGATGTGTTTGCAACTTTCTAATGCAGAATCACTTAAAATACTACACTGACTAAAGAATACTTTAAATATATGACAATACTGATAAGACTGAAATATGTGGTTCAACTAAATAAAGCAAAACATGTAATGAAGAAATTCAACAGTATTTATTTTTAAATCATTAGAAAAACTGACAGATATAAGATGTAAAAACCTCATTATGAAAATGTCATTCATAAAATTATATCTATCTATCTTATCTCACTCACTCTCACTCTCCCAATCCATCCACCCATCCATCCATCCATCTCTATAAATATATACCAATAATATTTTCAATTTCAATGGAAATCATCCCTATGACCACATACCTGGACAAACTTGATTGCTGCAGTTAGTTTAGCTTCTTGATTAATACCACCATTTGTGATGTAATTAACCAAAAAGGGAAGATGATTGTGGAATTGACGTGGTAATTTTGTTCCAAGGTTATAAAGGAGGTTTCCAGCACTCTTGTTCAACTCTCCATTTTCCCGTGCCTGAGGAGAAACAAAAAAATAAAAAATAAGGTAACTGTCATTTACATACTCAGAAACCTCTCCATGGACTTTCTACATGTAGCATTTGTTGCTACCTACTTTCTTTATTTCTGAGATCAGTCTCTTTCTGCACTGGTTATTTCATGTTCGAGTGGGTGTAATTTTCCCCCTCCTTTTATGATTGTATCTCTTGATTTTCCAGGGATGAAGTCCCAAAAACAGGTTATAATGAAACCCAAAAAGTCAACTTTCATATCTTCTATTCATTCCCTAGACAAGTATATCCCCCTCACCATTACCTTTCTTTATAAGCAATTCATGCCAACTACAACACCAATTTTTTTATAGAAAATATTTGTGACAGTTACCTTCAACATGGTGAGGAATTATAGAAAATGCGACATTAAGAATTGTGTCTGTGAACAATGATATGCAGCAGATATTCTTGTCATTTCATGGTAAATGTGAGGCTTCAGCCTCACAATATGAAGTTTTACCAATGTGTTGCACTTCATTATCAAATCTTGAAGAAAATGCCGTAGAAGACGAGCGCTTTAAATTTTTTTTTGTCATTATAGGCAAAGATTACCTTGTACCATATGACTACATGAAGCTGAATATGGTACAAGTTACCAAGATCAATATGCAAAGACAAAGGGAAATAGACAATGCCATCTTATAGAGCATTTACTTGTAGATGACGATAATGTCTGCTGAACAGCACTGTTCACACGAA